TGTTCTTGGCTCAAGGAATATTCTGTATGTCGCGGTCAGGTCTCTCACTGTTTACATGCTGTTATTGAAGATACTTATATAATTTATTTCTCGTATAATTTGGTTACAGATAATATATAACTGCTCAACATTTTTATATTATCCCGTGAGGTCATTATTAGTAATCCCCGTGATATATTAATAATTATCATAATTACTAGTAATATTAATTAAATTAAAATAATACCTATACCTCAATATATATATATATATATATATATATATATATATATATATATATATATATATATATATATATATATATATATATATATATATATATATATATATATTAACTGAAAACTCACACCCCAGAAGTGACTCGAACCCATACTGCCAGGAGCACTCTGCTGGTGTACAGGACACCTTAACCACTCGACCAACACGACCGGATAAAAGAGGATGGTAGCCGAGGCTATTTCCATCCCCCCGCCGGCACTCAATTGGTAATTTTGGGCATGGTATTTTATCAAATCACCTCATTCTTTGGGGCTCACGTGAGGAACACAAACGCGAACAAGCCTGAATGGTCCCCAGGACTATATGCAACTGAAAACTCACAACCCGAGAAGTGACTCGAACCCATACTGCCAGGAGTACTACCGTCCCTTTGTCCTCAACACCATTCTCGATTTTCTCGTCCAATGCATTTCCAAATTATGTGATGTTCCTTTCAGAAAATTGGGAACATCAAATGATCCGATGTTCCCATCACTGAAAAATAAGAAAAACAGCTAAAAAATGAATTGAAAAAATACAAAATACTTAAATGACAATGAAAATAAATCGCAATCTATGAAAATTAAATTTATAAATGAAATCGGAAACATTGTAATGGAATCGTAACATATTTAGTGTAGCGTGTGTTGCTCTTACGTGCAACAGATGTCGCTGTTTTTAAAAAAAAAACTGTTTTTACCTGTCACAGGTGTGGCATCTATATAGTAGGTATATAAAACACGCGCGTATGCGAATGGAACGTTGTGTCAAAATTTAATAGCAATCGGTAAAGTGGTTTCGGAGATTTGCATCACATGAAAAACACAGTTTAAAAAAAAATAGAGCTTTGCTCTTTCGGCCCGCCTCTTAACTGTTAATCAAATCAATCAATTGTTACTAACTACTAACTAACAAAATTTCTCCACACACACACACACACAGAGGAAGCAGCCCGTAACAGCTGTCTAAGTCCCAGGTACCTATTTACTGCTAGGTAACAGGGCAATCAGGGTGAAAGAAACTGCCCAATTTTATTTCTCGCCGGCGCTGGGAATCGAGCCCGGACCATAGGATCCCGGTTCCAGCGTGCTGTCCACACAGCCACCTGTGTGTGTGAACTCACCTAGTTGTGTTTGCGGGGGTTGAGCTCTGGCTCTTTGGTCCCGCCTCTCAACCGTCAATCAACAGGTGTACAGATTCATGAGCCTATCGGGCTCTGTCATATCTACACTTGAAACTGTGTATGGAGTCAGCCTCCACCACATCACTTCCTAATGCATTCCATTTGTCAACCACTCTGACACTAAAAAAGTTCTTTCTAATATCTCTGTGGCTCATTTGGGCACTCAGTTTCCACCTGTGTCCCCTTGTGCGTGTTCCCCTTGTGTTAAATAGACTGTCTTTATCTACCCTATCAATCCCCTTCAGAATCTTGAATGTGGTGATCATGTCCCCCCTAACTCTTCTGTCTTCCAGCGAAGTGAGGTTTAATTCCCGTAGTCTCTCCTCGTAGCTCATACCTCTCAGCTCGGGTACTAGTCTGGTGGCAAACCTTTGAACCTTTTCCAGTTTAGTCTTATCCTTGACTAGATATGGACTCCATGCTGGGGCTGCATACTCCAGGATTGGCCTGACATATGTGGTATACAAAGTTCTGAATGATTCTTTACACAAGTTTCTGAATGCCGTTCGTATGTTGGCCAGCCTGGCATATGCCGCTGATGTTATCCGCTTGATATGTGCTGCAGGAGACAGGTCTGGCGTGATATCAACCCCCAAGTCTTTTTCCTTCTCTGACTCCTGAAGAATTTCCTCTCCCAGATGATACCTTGTATCTGGCCTCCTGCTCCCTACACCTATCTTCATTACATTACATTTGGTTGGGTTAAACTCTAACAATCATTTGTTCGACCATTCCTTCAGCTTGTCTAGGTCTTCTTGAAGCCTCAAACAGTCCTCGTCTGTTTTAATCCTTCTCATAATTTTAGCATCGTCCGCAAACATTGAGAGAAATGAATCGATACCCTCCGGGAGATCATTTACATATATCAGAAACAAGATAGGACCGAGTACAGAGCTCTGTGGGACTCCACTAGTGACTTCACGCCAATCGGAGGTCTCACCCCTCACCGTAACTCTCTGCTTCCTATTGCTTAGATACTCCCTTATCCACTGGAGCACCTTACCAGCTACACCTGCCTGTCTCTCCAGCTTATGTACCAGCCTCTTATGCGGTACTGTGTCAAAGGCTTTCCGACAATCCAAGAAAATGCAGTCCGCCCAGCCCTCTCTTTCTTGCTTAATCTGTACGTGTCACCTGATCATAGAATTCTATCAAGCCTGTAAGGCAAGATTTACCCTCCCTGAATCCATGTTGGCGATTTGTCACGAAGTGTGTGTGTATGTGTGTGTGTGTGTGTGTGTGTGTGTGTGTGTGTGTGTGTGTGTGTGTGTGTGTGTGTGTGTGTGTGTGTGTGTGTGTGTGTGTGTGTGTGTGTGTGTGTGTGTGTGTGTGTGTGTGTGTGTGTGTGTGTGTGTGTGTGTGTGTGTGTGTGTGTGTGTGTGTGTGTGTGTGTGTGTGTGTGTGTGTGTGTGTGTGTGTGTGTGTGTGTGTGTGTGTGTGTGTGTGTGTGTGTGTGTGTGTGTGTGTGTGTGTGTGTGTGTGTGTGTGTGTGTGTGTGTGTGTGTGTGTGTGTGTGTGTGTGTGTGTGTGTGTGTGTGTGTGTGTGTGTGTGTAGATAACTAATTGTGCTTACGAGGGTTAAGCTTTGACTCTTTGGTCCCGCCTCTTTGTGTGTGCGCGCGCGCGTGTGTGTGTGTGCGCGCGCATGCGTGTGTGTGCGTGCGTGTACACGCGCGCTAGGCTTAAGCAGCATTAACTACGCAGACGAATGCTTTAATCTTCCACAACAGCGACTTTTTTGAACGTCAAATAGATTTTAAAGCCGTAAATCTCCCTGAATTAATTTAAGACTTAATCTCTTAAGCCTTTTATCCCATTGTTTGTCATTGCGTGAAAAACAGCTGGAATAAACTAATGTTATAAACTAGAACTCCAATTTCAATATATATTTAACGATATGTTGAATACTTATCATATATATCGATTATATCTCATTTGTCTATGATTAGGTATTGAAGTTATACAATGGGATCACACCTGCGTTCCTGGGGCCAGATTCACGAAAGCACTTACGCAAGCACTTACGAACCTGTACAGCTTTTCTCAATCTTTCTCGGCTTTGTTTACAATTATTAAACAGTTAATGAGCTCCGAAGCACCTGGAGGCTGTTTATAACAATAACAACAGTTGATTGGCAAGTTTTCATGCTTGTAAACTGTTTAATAAATGTAACCAAAGCCGTCAAAGATTGAGGAAAGATGTACACGTTCGTAAGTACTTGCGTAAGTGCTTTCGTGAATCTGGCGCCTGGACTCCCCGGGTACGGGTGTGTGTGGCTTTGGACCCCCCTTGGACAGTGGTCGAGGGTTCGAGTCCATTTAAGACCTCATTTATAACAGAAGTGTGTCTAAATTGGGATGAAGATAGACAGAACTAATATCAAAACTTAGATGCATATTGACAGATAGATGTCAAAAGTTCGAGGAATATAGACAGAATTAAGTTCAAAGTTTAGAAGTACAGTCTATCACAGGAGCAGAAAGTAGACAGTAGATTGGAAGGTAAATTGATAGTAGGGTAGAAATTACACAGGTAGATAGTAATAAATAATTGTAATTTATTGAATAATTTATTAAAATTTGAGGTAGGATATGTTGGATATACCTCTACATATGTGGAAGAACACACACCTGGAAGACATGTTGCCGTACACACCTGTAGGATATGTTGCCGTACACACCTGTAGGATATGTTGCCGTACACACCTGTAGGATATGTTGCCGTACACACCTGTAGGATATGTTGCCGTACACACCTGTAGGATATGTTGCCGTACACACCTGTAGGATATGTTGCCGTACACACCTGTAGGATATGTTGCCGTACACACCTGTAAGATATGTTGCCGTACACACCTGTAAGACATGTTGTCATACACACCTGTAGGATATGTTGCCGTACACACCTGTAGGATATGTTGCCGTACACACTTGTAAGATATATTGCCGTACACACCTGTAAGACATGTTGTCATACACACCTGTAGGATATGTTGCCGTACACACCTGTAGGATATGTTGCCGTACACACCTGTAGGATATGTTGCCGTACACACCTGTAGGATATGTTGCCGTACACACCTGTAGGATATGTTGCCGTACACACCTGTAGGATATGTTGCCGTACACACCTGTAGGATATGTTGCCGTACACACCTGTAAGATATGTTGCCGTACACACCTGTAAGACATGTTGTCATACACACCTGTAGGATATGTTGCCGTACACACCTGTAGGATATGTTGCCGTACACACTTGTAAGATATATTGCCGTACACACCTGTAAGACATGTTGTCATACACACCTGTAGGATATGTTGTCATACACATCTGTAGGATATGTTGCCGTACACACCTGTAAGACATGTTGCCGTACACACACCTGTAAGACATGTTGCCGTACACACCTGTAAGACATGTTGCCGTACACACACCTGTAAGACATGTTGCGTACACACCTGTAAGACATGTTGCCGTACACACCTGTAAGACATGTTGCTGTACACACCTGTAAGACATGTTGCTGTACACACCTGTAAGACATGTTGCTGTACACACCTGTAGGATAGAAGTAGACAGTGGGATGGCCAAAGCTGGGGATGGTAGGATGGAGCACGACCCGGGAGTCCATCACACCGAGGCACCAGCAGCAGAACGTCATACGATGCACCAGACTGTTGCGGTTGGCACGCGGCACGGCCACCTCCCGTGTGCGTTCTCCCACGCTGGTGCGCTGCCTGGGCCTCTCCCACGCCGGCCCATGGCGGAACGAGGCTCGTTTAACTCACTCAAACAACCATTAACCTGCCCAATGGAAACACATTTCCTGGAAAAAAACGAATATTTTGGGTTTTAAAACATCACTTCGAATGTATTTAATAATATATAAATTATTATTCCATGCATAATCCCTCACGTCTTTGTCGGTATTTGTGAAGCGGTGGATGGGTGGAAATGATCACGACATTAAAAATCCCCAGTCGTGGCCAAAATCTTCGATACTCCCCATAAATAATAGAGAGGCAGACGAGCATTGTATTAAAGGGGATATCTTCAGCTGAATTGTCGCATGGTTATTTTAAGGGTAATAGAGGCGCCTGTAGCGCAATGGGCTGCGCACTCGGTTTACAATCGTTATCTTGAGATGATTTCGGGACTTTTTTAGTGTCCCCGCGGCCCGGTCCTCGACCAGGCCTCCACCCCTAGGAAACAGCCCGTGACAGCTGACTAACACCCAGGTACCTATTTTACTGCTAGGTAACAGGGGCATAGGGTGAAAAAAACTCTGCCCATTGTTTCTCGCCGGCGCCTGGGATCGAACCCAGGACCACAGGATCACAAGTCCAGCGTGCTGTCCGCTCGGCCGACCGGCTCCGTAAGGTACAATTACCGTAAGGTAATCATCATGGGGGAAACGATAATATAAGATAATTATAAGAAAAGGAAAGATAAGGTAGTTATGAGGACAGAGGTAAAGTTATTATTAACATATAAGTAAGGAAATGGGATTACTTGGAGATAAGTAAAGTAAGTATGAGGAGAAAGGTAATATTAGGTAATTATTAGGGACAAGACACAGGTGTCTTGTGTTAAGACACCTGTGTCTTAATATGAAGGAATTACCAAGACATTGTGACTATAGACCACTTGGAAGTTATATGAGGACAAGGAGCTGGGATATGAGGACAAGGAGCTGGGATATGAGGACAAGGAGCTGGGGTATGAGGATCAGGATCTGGGATATGAGGACAAGGAGCTGGGATATGAGGACAAGGAGTTGGGATATGAGGACAAGGGGCTGGGATATGAGGACAAGGAGCTGGGATATAAGGACAAGGAGCTGGGATATGAGGACAAGGAGCTGAGATACAAGGACAAGGAGCTGGGATATGAGAACGACTTGTAGCATCTATGCCCTAACCAAGTCAATCCTCGGGAATCGAACACCGACCCTGCAAGAAACAAGACATACAACGTTCCCCGTGTAATCCTCCTCAAGAAAAAATACTTACCAGAGCAAGAACGTAATTGTGTTAACTGAATTAACATGTTAAATGGCTTTGTGAGAGCGTGTTGTTGCTGGAGAAGCTGTGTGGAGCGAGCCCCAGGGAGCGACCACGCCTCCTGGGGCTCAGAGTTATCTCTGAAACACAGACAAAATGTCTTGTTTGTGTCCCTGATGATGATTGCTATGCTCGTTAGTGATCCCTGAACACTTGATATACTTATTCCCTTCCCATAGTTCATGGTAAGCCTTACCCTGCTAGTTTTACACACAGGAGGGTACAGGAGCAGACGACTGCTGACTCCTGTTAGCTGGCTGAGAGCTTTCCCTTCCCATAGTTCATGGTAAGCCTTACCCTGCTAGTTTTACACACAGGAGGGTACAGGAGCAGACGACTGCTGACTCCTGTTAGCAGGCTGAGAGCTTTCCCTTCCCATAGCTCATGGTAAGCCTTACCCTGCTAGTTTTACACACAGGAGGGTACAGGAGCAGACGACTGCTGACTCCTGTTAGCAGGCTGAGAGCTTTCCCTTCCCATAGCTCATGGTAAGCCTTACCCTACTAGTTTTACACACAGGTGGGTACAGGAGCAGACGACTGCTGACTCCTGTTAGCAGGCTGAGAGCTTTCCCTTCCCATAGCTCATGGTAAGCCTTACCCTACTAGTTTTACACACAGGAGGGTACAGGAGCAGACGACTGCTGACTCCTGTTAGCTGGCTGAGAGCTTTCCCTTCCCATAGCTCATGGTAAGCCTTACCCTACTAGTTTTACACACAGGAGGGTACAGGAGCAGACGACTGCTGACTCCTGTTAGCTGGCTGAGAGCTTTCCCTTCCCATAGCTCATGGTACGCCTTACCCTACTAGTTTTACACACAGGTGGGAACAGGAGCAGACGACTGCTGACTCCTGTTAGCTGGCTGAGAGCTTTCCCTTCCCATAGCTCATGGTAAGCCTTACCCAACTAGTTTTACACACAGGTGGGAACAGGAGCAGACGACTGCTGACTCCTGTTAGCAGGCTGAGAGCTTTCCCTTCCCATAGCTCATGGTAAGCCTTACCCTACTAGTTTTACACACAGGAGGGTACAGGAGCAGACGACTGCTGACTCCTGTTAGCAGGCTGAGAGCTTTCCCTTCCCATAGCTCATGGTAAGCCTTACCCTACTAGTTTTACACACAGGTGGGAACAGGAGCAGACGACTGCTGACTCCTGTTAGCAGGCTGAGAGCTTTCCCTTCCCATAGCTCATGGTAAGCCTTACCCTACTAGTTTTACACACAGGTGGGTACAGGAGCAGACGACTGCTGACTCCTGTTAGCTGGCTGAGAGCTTTCCCTTCCCATAGCTCATGGTAAGCCTTACCCTACTAGTTTTACACACAGGAGGGTACAGGAGCAGACGACTGCTGACTCCTGTTAGCTGGCTGAGAGCTTTCCCTTCCCATATCTCATGGTAAGCCTTACCCTACTAGTTTTACACACAGGAGGGTACAGGAGCAGACGACTGCTGACTCCTGTTAGCTGGCTGAGAGCTTTCCCTTCCCATATCTCATGGTAAGCCTTACCCTACTAGTTTTACACACAGGAGGGTACAGGAGCAGACGACTGCTGACTCCTGTTAGCTGGCTGAGAGCTTTCCCTTCCCATATCTCATGGTAAGCCTTACCCTACTAGTTTTATACACAGGAGGGTACAGGAGCAGACGACTGCTGACTCCTGTTAGCTGGCTGAGAGCTTTCCCTTCCCATAGCTCATGGTAAGCCTTACCCTACTAGTTTTACACACAGGAGGGTACAGGAGCAGACGACAGCTGACTCCTGTTAGCTGGCTGAGAGCTTTCCCTTCCCATAGCTCATGGTAAGCCTTACCCTACTAGTTTTACACACAGGAGGGTACAGGAGCAGACGACAGCTGACTCCTGTTAGCTGGCTGAGAGCTTTCCCTTCCCATAGCTCATGGTAAGCCTTACCCTACTAGTTTTACACACAGGAGGGTACAGGAGCAGACGACTGCTGACTCCTGTTAGCAGGCTGAGAGCTTTCCCTTCCTATAGCTCATGGTAAGCCTTACCCTACTAGTTTTACACACCGGTGGGTACAGGAGCAGACGACTGCTGACTCCTGTTAGCAGGCTGAGAGCTTTCCCTTCCCATAGCTCATGGTAAGCCTTACCTTTACACACAGGTGGGTACAGGAGCAGACGACTGCTGACTCCTGTTAGCAGGCTGAGAGCTTTCCCTTCCCATAGCTCATGGTAAGCCTTACCCTACTAGTTTTACACACAGGAGGGTACAGGAGCAGACGACTGCTGACTCCTGTTAGCAGGCTGAGAGCTTTCCCTTCCCATAGCTCATGGTAAGCCTTACCCTACTAGTTTTACACACAGGAGGGTAGAGGAGCAGACGACTGCTGACTCCTGTTAGCTGGCTGAGAGCTTTCCCTTCCCATAGCTCATGGTAAGCCTTACCCTACTAGTTTTACACACAGGAGGGTACAGGAGCAGACGACTGCTGACTCCTGTTAGCAGGCTGAGAGCTTTCCCTTCCCATAGCTCATGGTAAGCCTTACCCTACTAGTTTTACACACAGGAGGGTACAGGAGCAGACGACTGCTGACTCCTGTTAGCTGGCTGAGAGCTTTCCCTTCCTATGTCCCCAATTACTATTGAGCAAACAAGGGCGAACAGTTACGGATTAGTTCCCAGTCAATCCTCCCCAGATATTGTCATGACGGTGGGAGGGGGGGGGGGGGTTGGAGGGTAGCGTGTGAGTGTATGTTTATCTAACTAACAAGATAAACTACAAGCGCCAACCGCCCTTCTTTATGATGCAGCCCACAACAGCTCTGTAACTCCCTGGAGCCTGATTCACCAAGCCGCTATGCAAGATCTTGAAAGCCTTTCCGTCTTACAGCCATCTTGGCAGTCACTCCACGATTCAACAAACTGTTTATGACCGCAAATTTTCCTAAGAACTTTCACCTGTAGGCTCCTCGACGCCTCAGCGGGCCTCCAAGATGGTAAGCCCCGCTGAGAACAGACATACCATCTTGACATATATAGGAACATATATAGGACTGACATATAGGACTGACATATATAAGAACATGAATTTTCTCCACTTTACAACCGGGAAGGGAATTGCCAGGGGGGGGGGGGGGGTGGGGGGGTAAAACGCCAAGCCATTGCAACAAGACGGGCTCACCATAGCCCGTGCTACTTGGAACTTTTTGTTCTAGCTAGCGAATCTTAAACAGTAACAACAGCCAAGCCATTACGACTATATAGAACTTAGAAAGGGCTAAGTACTATCCTATATCCTTACTAGATAAGGATATAGGATGCGACGGAGGGAAGGAACTGCCAACACCTGAGATCAGGGGACCCCATCGTGCCTGTAATACATGTTTTTTGTGTCTATATAACTCGTATTAAATGTGTATTTTATGAAAATACTAAAATATACCATTTGAGGTTATCATAAAATATTATTAAATAATTATTTTGATTTGTCATTGACACTTCCTGGCATTAAACAAGAGCTCTATCTCCTAGAGCCTAGGTGAATGTCTCATAGAGCCCAGGTGAATGTCTCATAGAGCCCAGGTGAATGTCTCATAGAGCCCAGGTGAATGTCTCATAGAGCCCAGGTGAATGTCTCATAGAGCCCAGGTGAATGTCTCATAGAGCCCAGGTGAATGTCTCATAGAGCCCAGGTGAATGTCTCACAGAGCCCAGGTGAATGTCTCCTAGAGCCCCGGTGAATGTCTCCTAGAGCCCAGGTGAATGTCTCCTAGAGCCCCGGTGAATGTCTCATAGAGC